GGAAAGAAGTGGAAAGATAGCTGTTACATTGTGAGGAATTGCAGTCAATGTCATGAAACAAAATGTGTATGAACTGCTGTGTGGAAAATGAATTTACTCTGCAAACTTTCACCCAAATCACAATAAAAGTTAATTTAAAAAAAAAAAAAACACCTTAAAACTTGTGAATCACACATCCCTGGTCAGTCAACATCATCTTGATACATCAAGGTACACTAAATAATTTTTCACAAGTTGTGATGTGAAGGACATGCTAAGAACCCTGGGTCCATATTCTTTGCCAGCTCAAATCAGCATTTGAAATTCTCAACATTTAACAGTCACTCCTTGGTTGGGCAATCCTACTTCCGTAGTGATACTGCCTTGGAAACCCAAGGAGGGGTCGCTATGAGTCGGGGCCGACTCGACGGCAAATAACAACAACCTTTCCGTATCAAAGGGTGACCTCTAGTTCCACTATGGGGGGAGACCCTTTGCTGTCACCCCCACGTATCCAATGTTGGTTGTTGTCACAGCGCCGATTCCCACTCATGGCGACTCCATGTGTGCACAGTGGAACGGCACTCCACAGGGTTTCCAAGGCTGTGACCTTCTGGAAGCAAAACGCGAGCCCTCACTTTCCAGGCACCTCTGGGTGTGTTCGAAACACCAACCTTTCAGTTACTGGTCCAGCTCTTCACCATTTTCGCCGCAATACTCTAGTCCAAAGGTTCTCAAACTCTCCGAGCTGCAGCAGCTCCCGGAAGGCTTGTGAAAGCACGCATTGCTAACTCACACCCCGAGTTTCTGACTCAGCAGGTCGGGGAGAAAGTTGCATTTCCAAGAACTTCCTTCTAATGCAATCCCCGTGCCCCTAAAGCCCCTAAGTCTGGCCCCTGCGCAGTGCAATGAAACAGAGCTCCACCTCGAGGGGCGGGGCCCTAAGAAACTCCGCCCGCGGCACGAGACCTCCGCCCTCATTGGCTGGCTACGAAGGGGCCCTCCTTACGTCATAGAACTGTGGGGCCGCCCGCCCGAACTCCAAGGCGGGAGGGGGCGCCGCGCCTGCGCAGTGGAGTTAGGCGTGCTCCGCTGTGTGGACGGGTATCGGCGACCGGATGGCGGAGTCCCGAGCCGAGTCAGAACCCCTCCTGGGCCGGGCCAGGGGAGGCAGGGGCCGCGACTGCCCGGTGGCGGCGGTGGCGGCGGCCGCGGTGGACACTTGCCGCAGCGCCCAGACCACAGGTGAGCTGCCCTGGCCGGCGACGAGGGCGGCCCGGAGCGAGGGTCGCTCCGGGACTCCGCGGTCCAGTCACCCCGAATCGCTGCCGGGACCCTCCGAGGCTGGAGTCGAAGCGGCCGGGCCGCCCCTGGGTCCGGAGGGCCGCCGCTGGGGGCGAGGGATCCAGCTGAGTTGGCGCGTCGGGTGCCGCCCTCCGAGCCGGGAGGGGTCGCGGCTGCTCCGGGCGGCCCGGGTCACGCGCTGCTCCCGGGGTGTCTGGCGACCCCCGCAGGCGGCACTTTGGCTGACCCATTTCCTCGGGGCGGAACCCGGGGCGCTCAGAGGGGAGGCAGCTCCCGGAGGTCCAGCAGCCTGTGAGTGGCCGGGGCGGGATTCGAACCCCGCTGAGAGTGACTGGCCGTCCTTTGGGCCTCATCATTCCCGGTCCCGGGAGCCTCCGCGGGCCCTGGGGCAGGAGACAGCCGCCTGCTCTCGCTGCCTTTGCAGCGTCCAGCGGTTTTCTCTGGGGCTCCTGCCTGTCCTTCCTGTTTACGGAGATGGCCCAGTCCCGGCAGGGTGGAGGCCACGGGTCCCTGGACCTCAGGTGTGTACCAAGGTCACAGCCCTGGGTTCAGGTGCAGCCTCTGCGCAGACTCCCTGGGCATGCGGGCCGGGCCACTTCTCCTCTCTGGATCGCACATTTTACTCAGCTGTCTGAGAGGGGACTGGGTTGGAACTAGGGTCCCCATAACCGGTCTGTGGGCAGTGCCCATCTGTGCGATAAGGGGTACATGCCCCGTCTGCCTATCCCACAGGCTTCCCTGGGAACCTTCTCTGGTCATTTCTGGGTCCAGGCCTTGTGGTGGCAGGGCCAGGACCCCAGGGTCTGGTGAGAGTGCTGGTGTGTGACCTTAGCAGGTGGCTTCACTGTGCTCAGCGTCAGAAAAGGCGGGCAGAGGCAGTAGTGCTGCCCAGGGTCTGAGTGGTGCACTTTGCACGTGAGCTCTGGTAGCATAGTGCCTAAGGCACCTGACTGCGGTTCAAACCCACCAGCCACTCCTCGGAAAGAAGATGGGGCAATCTACTTCTGTAGTGATACTGCCTTGGAAACCCAAGGAGGGGTCGCTATGAGTCGGGTCTGACTCGACGGCACATAACAACAACAACAACAACATTAACTGTAAGGTTGGAGGTTCGAACCCAGCCGAAAGCACTGTGGAAGACCTGGTGACATACTTCCTGGAGATTCCACCAAGACTACCCTGTGGAGTGAGTCTCTGACACACGAGTGGCCATGAGTCAGAACCAACTTGATGGCCACGAGTTTAGTTTCTAAAATTAAAAAAATAAAATTTTGCCCAGGGAGGGTGTTGTGAGATGGCCCAGAGAACACCCTAAAAGAGGGGGCCAGCCAGACATGTTGGCGGATGGCTGTCCTGGGTGGGAACACGGTGGCTGTTGTAGGTCCCAGCCGTGGCCGAGCGAGTGTGCAGGTGGGTGGGCAGATGACACCCACATTGTTGATAGAGTGGGAGCCTGAGCTGGTGTCAGCCAGCGAGAGAGGCTGGGGGGTGCTCTCTGTCCGGTGCGGGGCCTCTGGCGAAGGCGTGAGAACAAGGACAGGATGCCCTGTGTTCCAGTCTTGGGAGGCTCAGCCAGCGTGGCTGGGCAGACAAGGGGCACAGTGGGCACTGAGAATGGCTGATTCAGTCCCCAGCCTGACGCCTGGCTGGGCTCTGAGTGGAAGCCTGTGCTCAGGGTTAGACGCTCTCCAGGACGCCGTGGACGGTTTCTTCTGCCTCTGCCACCCCTGGCGGGCCACGATCGAGTGTGCAGAAGGCCGTCTTGTGCCTGGGTCAGAATGTCGTCCTTTTGCTGGTTATGAAAACACTGGAAGAAGGGGGTCGCCTGCTACAGGAGGAACATAGTGGATCACATGACCGTGCAAGGCCGCCTTCCTATGTGCTAACAATCCAGAAACCAAACTCTGCCACCCAGTCGGTCAGACTCATAGCGACCCCTCCCTGGGTTTCCAAAGCAGTAAATCTTCATGGAAGTAGATTGCTCAATCTTCCTTCTCCGGAGTGGCTGGTGGGTTTGACCCAGCAGGCTTCTAGTTAGCAGTCAGATGCCTTGGGCATATGCTACCAGGGCTCCTTTCATATGCACTGTTGTTGTTATTGTTATGTGCCCTCGATTCTGACCTTACTCATAGCGACCCCTCCTTGGGTTTCCAAGGTGGTGTCACTATGGATGTAGATTGCCCAACCTTCCTTCCAAGGAGTGGCTGGTGGCTTTGAACCGCCAGCCTTCTGGTGAGCAGTCAAGCGCCTTAGGGATTAACATGTGTGTGACTTGCTTTATTGCAATAGTCACTTTATGAAGGTGGTCTGCAGCTGAACCTACACTATCTCCAAGGTACACCTGTAATGCTGTGGTTAGGTGCCCCTGAGTCGGCTCCGACTCACAGCGACCCCGTGTGCAACACAACGAAACACTGCCCGGTCCTGTGCCAGACCCATCAGCCTGGCTATTTCCAAGCCCGTCATTGCAGCCACTGTGTCCGTCCATCTCGTTGAGGGCCTTCCCTTCTTTTGCCGACCCTCCACCCTACCAAGCATGACATCCTTCTCCAGGGAATGGCCCCTTCTGACAACACGACCAAAGTAGATGAGACGAAGTCTGGCCATTCTCGCTTCCCAGGAGCATTCCGGCTGCACTTCCTCCAGGACGGATGCATTCATTCTTCTGGCGGTCCCTGGTGCTTTCAGCGTTGTTCGCCAGCACCACAACTCGGAAGCATCAGCTCTTCTACCTGGGCTCCTGGCGACTCCACGTGTGCAGAGTAGAATTACTAATGAGGTTTTGAAGGCTGTGACCTTTTGGAAGCAGATCACATGGCCTGTTTTCTCACGTGCCTCTGGATTTGTTCAAACTGCCAACCTTTTGGTTAGTAGTTGAGCACTTAACTATTTGTACCACCAAGGGACATCTATTAATAACTATCCACTCACTGTTGTGGAGTGGGATCACACAGCGCCCCTAGAGGACAGAGTGGAACTCCCACAGGGTCTCCAAGGCTGTCAGAGTCTTCACAGAAGCAAAGCCCAAACCACACCCACTGGAGTCAAGTTGAGTCCAACTCATAGCGCCTCTAGAGGACAGAGTGGAACTGCACCGCAGAGATCTAAGGCTGCAAGTCTTTATGGAAGCAACTGCCTCATCTTTATCCCTCAGAGCAGCTGGTGGGTTCCAGTGGCCGACCTTTTGATTAGCAGCTGCATGCTTTAACCACTGCAGTACCCGAAATCCTTTTCCTAATAATAATGCTGCTGTTGTGGTTAGGTGGTTGGCTCTGACTCACAGTGACTGCGTGCAGCAGAGTGGATCACTACCCCGTCCCGTGCCGGCCTCACAACCCTTGCTCTGCCTGAGACCGTCATTGCAGCCACTGTGTCAGTCCATCTCATTGAGCCTTCCCCTTTCCCCTGACCCTCTGCCTTACCAAACACGACGTCCTTCTCCAGAGACTGGTCCCTTCTGACAACCCGGCCAAAGCACAGGAGACGAAGTCTGGCCATCCTTGCTTCCAGGGACCACGGAGCGTTGGGCTGCACCTCTTCCAGGACAGGTTTGTGTTTTCAGTGTTCTTCGTCGGTCCCACAGCTCAGAGGCACCAACTCGTCTTTATTCATTGCCCAGCTCTCACATGCATGTGAGGAGATTGAACATACCATGGCTTGGGGCAGGGGCACCTTAGTCTTCAAAATGTTCTTTGCTTCTTAACACTTAAGGAGGTCTTTTGCAGCACATTAGTCCAGTGCAGTGTGATGTCTGATTTCTTGACTGCCGGTTCCATGGGTGTTAATTGTCGATCCAAGGAAAGTGAAATCCCTGACCACTTCAATCTTTTCTCCATTTGTTGTGATGTTGCATATTGGTCCAGTTGTGAGGATTTTTGTTTTCCTTATGCTGAGATGTAATCCATACTGCAGACTATAATCTTTACTCTTCATCAGTAAGTGCTTCAAGTCATTTTCACTTTCAGCTAGTAGGGTTATGTCATCTGCATATTGCAGCTTGTTAACGAGTCTTCCTCCAATCTTGATGCCACGTTCTTCTTCATATAGTCCAGCTTCTTGTATTATTTGCTCAGCATACAGATTGAATTACTGTGGTGAAAGGATACAACCCTGACACACTCCCTTCCTGATTTTAAACCATGCAGTATCCCCTTGCTCTGTTCGAACAACAGTTTCTTGGTCTATGTACAGGTTCCTCATGAGCACAATTAAATGTTTTGGAATTCCTATTGTTCGCAATGTTATCCATAATTTGATCCACACAGTCGAATGCCTTTGCATAGTCAGTAAAACACAGGTAAACATCTTTCTGGTATTCTTTGCTTCGGCCAAGCTCCATCTGACATCAGCAATGATAGCTCTCCTTCCACATCCTCTTCTGAATGCAGCTGGCGTCTCTGGAAGTTCCCTGTCAATATGCTGCTGCAACCATTTTTGAATTATCTGCAGCAGGATTTTCCTTGCGTGGGATACGTAATAGGTGCGTTCACCTCAGCTCTGTCTTTGACAGCGTGACAGCGTGTGCTGACGGCACATCCAGACTGAGGGACACAAGGTGACCCTGTCGGGCCTTGTGAGTGATCAGGGTCTTCGTCACGATGGTGTGCTGCGCTTTTTCTCGTCTGATACACTTCAGTCACCCACCTCCTTAGCCACTTCTTTTTCCTTTCTGACCGCAGCCAGGCATTGCTAAGTCAGTCTGTAAGACGAATTTGTGTGTCAGTCAGGATAGTTAGGTGTGGTTCGTATCTAAGGTCAGTCAAATGTGTGTCTTTGCATATAGTGCGCCTTTCTATGTGTAAAATCCTTAAATGTTTCTAGATGTGCTAACACATCTTTAGGGTCATGCAGTGATAGTGATAATGTTTGATGCATGTCACAAAGTAGCGTCTGTTACTATGAACTATTGTATGTTCCTAGAAGTTTGAAGGCACTAGGCTTCACAGAGGTTTTTTTTTTTTTTTTTTTTCCGTAAGTTCCGGTTGTGTACATTTGTAACCCAGGGACTGCCTGGATGATATTCAGTTTTCAGTTGCACATGGGAGGTGTGGGAAAGCGTACAGCTGCTCCATTTTTCAGAAGTAGAAGTATTCTCTTCTACTTTTTTTTTGGACAAACTATGTTGTTATATATTTTTTATTGTGGTTTGGGTGAAAGTTCACAGAGCAAATTCCTTTTCCACACAGCAGTTCGTACACATTTTGTCCCGACATTGACTGCACTCCCCACAATGTAACGGCTCTCTTCCCACTTCCTCCCTGTGGTTACCTTTTCCCTGTGTCCCCCTTTCCTGTGCATTCCTGCCCCCTGAGCCATCTCCCTGTGCAAATGCTGCCCCTCTAATCTCCCATGATTGATCGCTCTAAGGAGTGGATCTACGTGGTATAAATGTTCACTTTATAAGCCTGTCTGTTGTTTGGCTGGAAGCCACAGAATAAGTTCACTTCTAGGTCTGAAGGGTCACTAGGGGCCATAGTCTCAGGGGTTTCACCAGTCTCTATCAGACCAGTAAGCCTGGTCT